ATACAAAAAAAGTGCTAGATGCTAGAATTATTATATTTTTGCTCACCTTTGCTATAAAGAGCCCTGAGGGTAAACACCAAAGACGTTGCCATCAGTTGCTACTTCAATCATGGACAGACTTCCAGAAATGGCCTCAAAAACACCCGACCCTCCACAGGAAGCACCAGTTAAATACAGAAAACTCACTGATAGCATGGTAACATATGTTTACATTTCCTTTACTGTGACAAGTAATGTTTTAAAACAACTTATAACTCGAAGATCTTATAGAGATGTACTTCACAAGATCCAGAAGTAGTACTGAGTAGTACTTACCCTTCTGATGATGATTTTCCCTGCTGAGTTCACTCTCACTGCTGTACGGGCCACAGCTGTAGTAACTCATCTTTCCTGCAATTTGTGTCCAAAGAGCATCACCGGATGTCCCTACATTGTTAGCATTCTTATTTAAACAGAAAATGTCATCTAAAGAAAATTGTAAGTTTGACCCCATTTGCCATGCATTGGCAGACAATTATTATTATTGAGCAATTTTCATGATTATGTGGGTAGTGTTGGTGTAAAAATGGAAAAATGCAAGATCAAGGACAACATGACATTCAGAGAGGAATCAACACATGGCAAAAAGTCAATGTTAAGATGGTAATGCTTTCATAAAGTTGCAATGACAATGATAAAGTGATATATAATTCCTCACTCAATGAGGGGGGAAAAAATCCAGTGAAATCAAAACCATGGCATGTGGACATACAGGGCACACACATGGAGACAAGAAAAATGTGATCAATGTACCTGAAAATGAGCACAGATTCTTGTAAATAAATCTTATGCCCAAAATCCCCATCCACATATCAAGTGTTACCCTTACAGAATCAGGAAACGAAGTACAGCTATATAAGCTCATTATCATGCAATAGCATTTCCATTAACATTGTTTTGGTGCCTGTAGTGTGAGGACAGGAGAATCACATTGACCACTGAATCCATTGACATAAGAGAAGGTTGGCTTGATGGCTTAATGATACATTAATAATAATTGTAATGTTGGTGTTAGAATTGCCATATCAGCTTTTATGTAAAAATTAGAAACAACTTATGCTCATTCTTGTTATATGGAATTTAAGAAGAATACGGTTTTACAGTGCGAAGTCAGATGCAATGGCTACAAGCATCTTTATAGGTTTAAAAAATGTCTGTCCCAATGGCTACAAGCATCTGACTTTCGATCTGGGGAGGCTGTCATCTGTAGTGATGGATCCATTAGAAGATGTGTTTAAATGTCCAACAGAAGAGCGCAACTATCGCTATAAACAAACAATTAAAATGTAAGCTTGTTTTTCCTTTCTTGTTACTTTTCTTTGCTGTTTAACTGATTAAGCTTTTCGATTTATGTTTTTGTGATTTTTGAAGCGTCATTAAAGGATTGCTACCCAACCTCTTTAAAATCAATAATTCCTGGAACTGATTAACTTAATTTTTAAATAAATTGACATGAGGACAATGTGTGAATATGAAATCATTTCTGTATTGATTTGTTTTACCTGTATTTTGAGTTGCACAATTGTTTTTGAGTTGAAAGAAATTAGGTAAACTTGGCCAATTTCTACCATTTTCTATTTTACTAATTTTCCCCCGTGAGTTCTTACTTACATAATCAGATTGAGCAAATAGTATGCATATTATGCGTGCTGTCCGAGGAGAGGGCTCAGAGCTCGGAATTTAGCCTGAACCTAAAGAACTCCCCCATATCTCAAGTTGGTGAATAGGAGTGGGGTGGAAGAGGGATGCCAGAAAACTGTTGTGGGACAAATGTAAGGTGTTGATATTGATATACACACACACACACACACACATATATATATATATATACAGTATATATATAATTCTTACATTGGGAGGAGAAATGCAGAGAAGAAACAGAAGAGTTGTTTGTGTGTGTGTGACTGTGCTCTGAAAGTTTATTGTCTTAACACACACACACACACACACATATATATATATATACAGTATATATATAATTCTTACATTGGGAGGAGAAATGCAGAGAAGAAACAGAAGAGTTGTTTGTGTGTGTGTGACTGTGCTCTGAAAGTGTATTGTCTTATTTCTCCATACTTTGCTGAGGGTTTTGTGTTGTTTGGTGTGTTTATAGCCTGTTAAAACATGAAACACTGAACTGGGTCCAAACGTTGCTCTAATGTAACAAATTAGTATGATTTTGTACACAGATAAATTATATTTGATGACACTACAGATAACTTTTTTTTACAGATAACACATATCACGAACCCATCTCTTCTCACAGCCATTTTCCCCATCACATTCAAGCAGGCTCGGGTAACCCCACTGCTTAAAAACCTACATTAATATGTTTATTAGAAATTGAAAAAAGCACAAATGTCAGGTTTCAGAAGTGGCCATTCAGCTTAGAATGCATTACTGTCAGTCACTGAAGCCTTGCAGATTCCGAAAGCTGATTCAAAATCATCAGTTCTCATTCTGCTGGATCTATCTGCCGCTTTTGACACTGTGAATCATCAGATCCTCCTGTCCATACTCTCATCAATGGGCATTCACAGGGATTCCACTTCACTGGTTTGAATCCTATCTCAACTGGTCACTGGGGTTCCTCAGGGATCAGTTCTTGGACCCCTCCTCTTTTCCATATACACTATCACTATCACTAACACATCACTGGGACCCATCATACAGGCACATGGTTTCTTTCCTACCATTGCCATGCTGATGACACACAGCTCTATATTTCATTTCAACCAGATGATCCAACAGTAGATGCACAGATCTCAGGCTGCCTGGTGGACATCTCGGCATGGATGAAAGACCATCATCTACAGCTCAACCTGGCAAAAACTGAGCTTCTCGTCTTCCCTGCCACTCCGACTCTACAGCATGATTTCACCATCCAGCTAGGTTAATCAACAATTAGCCCAACAAGTTTGTTCAGAAATCTTGGTGTAATCTTTGTTGACCAGCTGACTTTCAAAGACCACATTGCAAAAGCCACTCGATCATGCAAATTCTTGTCCAGGCCCTTGTCATTTCTAGGCTGGACTACTGCAATGCTCTTCTAGCTGGACTTCCATCATGTGCAATCAAACCTCTACAAATGATTCAGAATGCAGCAGCACGACTGGTCTTCAACGAGCCCAAAAGGGCCCACGTCACACCCCATCCCATCCAGAAGCCTGAGATCTACAAGTGAGTGACGCCTCATGGTACCATCACAGAGAGGCACACATGTATTGAACTACTGAACTATGTATCAGGCTTCACGTATTGAACTATGGTCCCAAAGTTTAATTGCATTCCCCACTCGTTTTTATTTGGGAGACAGTTGACAGACAGACAGTTTGATTAAAAAAACAAACAAATTCACTGTGCCTCGTTGCAGTCCGGTGAGCGGAAGACACCAGCAGAGAGGGGTTTCAACTTCGTTCTCACCACATCAGTGGCCCAAGATGAATCTGAACCAATCAGTCATTTCATCTTTCCTGACCGTGATAACCATTTTCTGTTTGATACCCAAAACCAGTTAGCAATTCATTTTGTCTGGTATCCAAAACTGTCCTCTATCAGCCAAAGAGGAAGACAGAGGAGTCGTGAAATAGCAAGAATCAGGAGACAAAGTGACACTTGAAAAAGAGCATAGTTTATTGAATAATCTTGTGTATGTTTCAAAGCAGATATTTAATTCCTGTTTCGCATTCACAGCACAAGCTCATTATACCAATGTTATTATACCAAATCAAAATGGAAAATGACATTTTCCCATAACATTGTGTAATCTGGAATTTTCCCATTCTCTTTTCTTAAAAGAAAGAAAAAAATAAATGAATAAATACTACTACTAATACTAATTTAATTATAATACAATTAATTTTAATTTCCTGAATGAGTTTCCACAGCTGGCAAAACCAAATCAGACAGGATTGACATTTAAGACACACATATGAATATCATTGCATTAGATACAAATAATCAAAACAAGTGGCATTTAAAAAACTAGCTATGCTTAAGGGTTACTCAGATCTAACTTCACTATTCTTTGCAATGACTTATAACCAAATGATGTCAAGGTGGTTATTAGTGTTGTGAATGTAAAGTTGGTTCTCGTCAGGTTCACATTAATGTACAGTAAAAGAGTAGGCACAGCTTTGTTCATCACAGCAACACATGAAAACTGCATACTTTTTGTTCAGTTTGATAAATATATCTGTAAAACATAAATGCCACTTGATCTGAAAGTTTGTTTTATAGTCCAACAACATTCATACATTTTTACATGTGACCTAAGGGCCTGTTACATGATTAATTTTAATCCATAACTCTTAATTATTCAAAAACAAATACAATGACTTAAATGCACCTCTTCTAATACAAGTTTTTTTTCCCCCTTGAAAAACATACATTTAAAGATGAAATGATTGCATAATTATTAACAAATAAATGAACAAAACTGAAAGAAAATAAAACATAAACATATGGTTGCTACACACACACAGGTTGCTATTAACAATCCTTAGATTCTTTGTTGCCACAAGTTTAGCCTCAAAAGGGCCAAATGAAAATCTTATTAATCATTAATTCAGAAGTGCTATTACTCATTCCATTCCGCGTATCACATTCTAATTTTCATGGCAACCCCAAGACATTTCAAATAATACCAAAACATCTTCATTTCAAAGAATGGAAAAATATTGATATAATACACAACAAAAACTTAAATACAGTAAATGCAAACCAAATTAGTTAAGTGTAAGAACTACTCCACGTTTTTATAGTGCACTTTTTATCCTTGTGCTCTCCACCGCCTCTAACAGTCATCATTTTGTTTGATTGTTTTTTTAACCAACACATTTCACAACCCATCAGTAACCTCTAAAGCTATGTGATGCGTCAGCAATAACGAGGCTAAATGTTAACATTTTCTTTTGTTTAAGAAACGTAAAAAACGAATAGAGGGATGGCAAAGACTCAAGTTATGGGTTACGACGTTTAACCTTTGCATAAAGCTCAGAGGAGTCTGCAAACAGCTCTTCCTCTGATTGCTTTGACTCTGTTTGTTTAGTAAGCACATCTGCACTCACAATCACCTGTGCTTCTCTTGCTCTTGAAGACTCTGCCATTGAGCTCTCAGTCTTTGCCAGCCCTCCAGAACAATACTGGACCATACTGTAGTCAGCATGATGTGAGGAGACGCTCCCGACCTCTCGTGGTTTAAAGTTTGTGAAGTCAATGGAGGAATAAATGATGGATTCTTGGTTTGCTGTGGTGGCTCCAGGAGGTGACATCATGACACAAACAGGGTCGTCTTGATTCTCCTGTGGAACGACCTAAAGGATTGACAGGATAAAATCAGTGCTGGAAAGCTCGGGTGTGTCTGTTTAAATTGTTTAGCAGTGTACTAGTTGTGTACTATTGTGTACTAGTTTCATTGTTTTGTTTCGTTTTTTTAAAAGTGTATTTATGTACTTTACATTTTTCTGAAAGTGTATGAATTCAGGATTTGTGGGTTTTCGTGTGTCTGTTGTAACTCACTTCATTGTCATTTTGACCACTTCTCTTAGCGCCTTCTTGTGTAGTCTGTGAACGTTTCCCATTTTCTTTTCTAAATCAAACAAACAAAAAAGCATGAGTCCAATGTGAAAAATAATTTATATTCTAAATGAGCTTCACAGTTAGCAAAATCAATAAATCAGACAAGATTGGAATTTAAGTCATACGAATATCATTGCATTAGATACAAATGATCAAAACAACTGGCATCTACAAACTGTTCACTGAAGGGTTTCTCAGATCTAACTTCTCATTTTTTTTGCAACGACACTAAATGGGGTCAAGGTGGTTATTAGTGGTGTGAATGTGAAGTTGGTTCCCCTTAAGTTCATAAAAATGTACAGTAGAAGAGAAAACACAGCTATGTTCATCACAGTAACACATGACAACCACATGGTGTGTCAAATACTTTGTATTCAATTTGAAAAGTATATCTATAGTATAAAACCATGCAAGCCTCTATTTGTAAAACATAAATTTGTAAAACTGCTTGTACTATTATATTAAATATGAACAAGCTTGTACTATTATACTTTACAATATTGTACTATACTATTATACTTTCTTAAATTTAATTCCACTTGGTTTAAAAGTATGTTAGTACTGCAACAACACTGATACATTTTTAGATGTGACTTAATGGTTCATTATATTATACTAATTTTGTATCTACCGATTTTTCAAAAACATGTACAGTGACTAGAATAAACCTCTTTTATTCCCTTGACAAATATACATTTATAAATGTGCAAAAGATGTACAAAGAAATCATCAGATCAAATATGTTGAATCTGTTTTTCTTACTGGTTTCACAGTGCTCTTCTATTATGCATCATTCTTGATACCTCATATGTATCTTGCACCTACCGTACACAGATATATGTAATGGTGCACAACAACACGACCACCAAACCCACAACAACTCCAATCGGCACAGAGAAAAGATTCAAACCTAAAAAAATAAATGAATGAGTGTTTGGTAAACCACTGATGATTCACTGATTCAATTAAGCAAGTGCTAGAGAGTTAAAGCGTAATCTTAAACATACACGTATACATTATTTATATCGTACACATCAAAATAACAATGATGGCAGGGGAATGAGAATAAAAAAAGAGATTAGCATTAGCATTCCTACTTATGTTAACATTTGCTTCCCAAATCTTAGGCTGCTGACCTGTTCCATTTTAACAAATCTAAATATATTAAAATATATTAAAATCGAAATATATTAAAATATACTGCAATTAGCTTAAAATTGAGAAAAAGAGCACTGAACATATTTAAAGTTGTTCCAAAATAACACATTTATTATGCACTTAGTTCAGCATAATAAAAATATAAGTGCATCGATATTAGTACAACTAAATGTATTTCTTTTTTACCTGGGAGCAGTTGGTTGAAAACCTTAATATTTTACATTTAAACAGACCACTAACTAGAACCACTTTCAGGAGCCATTTTTATTTTTTAGCTCGCATGTCATATAGTATGGCAGTGAAACAGGATACATCTATGCTGCCTTTAAAAATTGATCAGATGAAGGCATCTCAGGAGACAGTAAGTGAAGCTAACATTGGATTCGGATGTGCCTTGATGCCTTCCTATTCATTCATAAATTGACAGATGTTCTTCTATTGGATGAATCACAGAACTGAAACTCACGTGCAACAGATGAAGGCAGTTGAAAGAGTTGACTTGCATTGCCATGAGTGTTTCTGCTGGCACACTGCAGAGTGGATGTGTGTGTGAGAGACTGATGAAGAGTGATGGAGCTCCTCAAGACTGTGCTGCTCAATCGCTCTTCACTGATGAACGTGTTTGAAGAGTTAGTGACAGGACGTCCAGACAGATGCCACTCCAGTTCAGGAGAGGGATTCCCATCAGCCTCACAGAAACACACAGTTATATTAGTCCTGGTACAGCTGGAGGATGGAGAGATTTTAGCAGCATCTGAAAAAGAGAAAGAGAGAATGATGTGATACATGGACATCTTATGGAGGAGGAAAGAACCGATGGCACAAAAATCTTACACTGAACATGTAATGTGATGCTGTGCTGTGCTGTTTTGTTCTCGTCCTGTAGCTGGTAGGTTATAGTGCAGGTGAAAGTGACTCTGGGCTGACGGTGAGTAGCAGTGAAGTTCAGATCAGAGATGAGCTCCTCTAGTCTGCTGCTCTCACTGAGGGGGATTCTGGGAGTGGAGCTCCATGTGAGAGTTGGTGGAGGAGAGGAGCAGAAAGTCTCAGCAGAGCAGCGCAGACTCACAGAGCTCCCCTCCAACACCTCCTCCTGATCCTGCACCTGCTTCTGCTCCACATACAGCTGCACTGTGGGTTTGGGGGGAGAGTCTGAAATACACACACATTTATGTTATATATATGAATTTGCTGATTATAAAGTAACGTTTTGGTCGAAGACTGTCATCGCCACAATGTTTTGTTTTTTTTCCCCCTCAAATAAGATAACTAAAAAATAAAAAATGTCTATATTGATCATGGAAACTCTGGCATGGATTGAAATGTTGTTGTCTTTTAGACTACTGTCATAAAATTGTCATTTCAGATAGTGATTGTGAAAGAGATTTGATTGTCTTGTACTAGAACAATTTACAGTTTATAATATTTTCCAGTCATGAAGTCACTCACCGATCACATGAATTGAAACACTTGTTTTTGTGTAGGTCCATTTCAGTCCACCTTCACCCTCAATCCTGAAGTAATATTGACCAACGTGATTTGATCTGAGGTCATGAAAAACAGTGGTACAGTTCTTGTCTTTTAATTTTCCAGTTATGTTCCCTTTCATTAAGGAGTTATGGCTTGATGTGCTTGAGTTAAACACTAGATTTTTGTTCACATCAGTCCCGTTCTTTAACCACTGTCCTGTAGCTCTCTCAGTGAGGTCTTTGTCATATTTTTCCTCAATCTCAAATCTGCACTTTATGATCACACAGGATCCACTGAGAGCTTCGATCTTCTGCGGCAGACTGATGTTGAAATCTCTACAGCAAACAGCTACAGTACAACAGACACGATGAAAAGCATTCAAACACAAGCAGAAATAAACACTGAAGCATTCAGACACACCAACACATTAATGATCTGTTATAAACAAAATTAATGTTTTTTTTTATCTTACATTTAATTGCATTAAAGCATCATTTTATAAGGGGTGAACAACAACAGCAACAGTGCAATTTACCTCAAATGTACTATTAATGTATTTAATAATAACTGTAAAATCGTGTATATTGAATGAGATCCCAAACTTCAGAAAACATTTTGTGTATCAGTCTCTATCTGAATTAAAAGTGTCAGTATAGTTTCATGTATGTAGACTAAATGTAGCTTAGCACTTAAACTAGTTAATCGAGTTAATTTACATTCTCAGTCCCACTGAACAGGTCACACTTTACTAGAAGAAGAAGAAGAAGAAGAAGAAGAAGAAGAAGAAGAAGAAGAAGAAGAAGAAGAAGAAGAAGAAGAAGAAGAAGAAGAAGAAGAAGAAGAAGAAGAAGAAGAAGAAGAAGAAGAAGAAGAAGAAGAAGAAGAAGAAGAAGAAGAAGAAGAAGAAGAAGAAGAAGAAGAAGAAGAAGAGATTGACAGGGTTGAATTAGTGCTGGAAGATTTCTTGTAGCACGTCAGCTCTGCGGAAGTTTTTCATGTCCTGAAAAGTATGTGTTCATGTTCTACTTCTATATGTTCTGCTTTATTTTTGTTAGACCAACCTGGTTCAGAGTGTTTTTTAGTGGCTGCGAAGTCAGTTCCTCACAAGTGCACAAGTAAACATGAAGTAGAACACATCACATTAGCAAAATACTTCTCAAAATACTTTTTGTGTTCATTTTAAATGGTATATTTAGTTTTTTTATGTATCATCAATTATTAAAATAACATTTAAATTCATAATTTAATACAGTGCACTTTTTTGTAGCTACATGTATTTACATTGGAAATCACTATAACTGGGTAAATCACTTTTATCTGCACCATGCTGTATGTCCGAAAAGCCTGTGAGCTCATGATTTACACAAATTTTACACAAAATGTATAATTTTTTATTTACAGATTATATTTGGCTTACCCATGGGTCTCTCTTGGGGAAACTGCTCTCTTCGTCAAATGGGATTCAAACTGATTTTTAGATATGTTTAGAATATACGTGAAAATGCTAAAGAGATGTGACATTTCTCTTTATAGCAACATACTGACTGAACTTCCTGTGTCAGCATCAACTTGCATGTTTAACTTGTAAATGAGTACGTTTTTCTTTAATCACTTGTACATTCATGAACTTTTTATACATTTTTAGCATTTATAACAAACTTTCAGTGTTTTGTAGTGGTTTATGTAGAGAACTCCCCTTCTTTCTGTTGTGGAATGATAGAAAAGATTGACAGGGTTGAATTAGTGCTGGAAGATTTCTTGTAGCACGTCAGCTCTGCGGAAGTTTTTCATGTCCTGAAAAGTATGTGTTCATGTTCTACTTCTATATGTTCTGCTTTATTTTTGTTAGACCAACCTGGTTCAGAGTGTTTTTTAGTGGCTGCGAAGTCAGTTCCTCACAAGTGCACAAGTAAACATGAAGTAGAACACATCACATTAGCAAAATACTTCTCAAAATACTTTTTGTGTTCATTTTAAATGGTATATTTAGTTTTTTTTATGTATCATCAATTATTGAAATAACATTTAAATTCATAATTTAATACAGTGCACTTTTTTGTAGCTACATGTATTTACATTGGAAATCACTATAACTGGGTAAATCACTTTTATCTGCACCATGCTGTATGTCCGAAAAGCCTGTGAGCTCATGATTTACACAAATTTTACACAAAATGTATAATTTTTTATTTACAGATTATATTTGGCTTACCCATGGGTCTCTCTTGGGGAAACTGCTCTCTTCGTCAAATGGGATTCAAACTGATTTTTAAATATGTTTAGAATATACGTGAAACTGCTAAAGAGATGTGACATTTCTCTTTATAGCAACAGCTAAATTTATTTATGGTTATCATCTTTAACAGCAGAAAGCAAAAAACAAACAGTATGAGTTTTTAAATGGAAAATAAGCATTTAAAATGTATTTTAAATTATTTTAGAAGGCGAAGAAAAAAAAAGTGTTTGTTATCAGTTTACATAACAGTCCATAAAACAGTTATATTATATTAAACAATAACTAGAATGCATGCACATACAAAAAGTTTTTTAAATCCACTCAAAAAAATAATAATATATATATATATATAAAATGAAATTTGCAAAGTAATTACATTCATAAATTGCTGCCAGTATTTCTTGGTCTTCATGCTTGTACAACGTGTTAAGACATAGGATACAAAACATGAAGTAGAACACATCACATTAGCAAAATACTTCTCAAAATACTTTTTGTGTTCATTTTAAATGGTATATTTAGTTTTTTTATGTATCATCAATTATTAAAATAACATTTAAATTCATAATTTAATACAGTGCACTTTTTTGTAGCTACATGTATTTACATTGGAAATCACTATAACTGGGTAAATCACTTTTATCTGCACCATGCTGTATGTCCGAAAAGCCTGTGAGCTCATGATTTACAGTAATTTTATACTAAATTTAGCATTTTTTATTTACAGATTATATTTGGCTTACCCATGAGTCTCTCTTGGGGAAACTGCTCTCTTCGTCAAATGGGATTCAAACTGATTTTTAAATATGTTTAGAATATACGTGAAACTGCTAAAGAGATGTGACATTTCTCTTTATAGCAACAGCTAAATTTATTTATGGTTATCATCTTTAACAGCAGAAAGCAAAAAACAAACAGTATGAGTTTTTAAATGGAAAATAAGCATTTAAAATGTATTTTAAATTATTTTAGAAGGCGAAGAAAAAAAAAGTGTTTGTTATCAGTTTACATAACAGTCCATAAAACAGTTATATTATATTAAACAATAACTAGAATGCATGAACATACAAAAAGTTTTTTAAATCCACTCAAAAAAAAAAGTATATATATAATCAAATTTGCAAAGTAATTACAGTCATAAATTGCTGCCAGTATTTCTTGGTCTTCATGCTTGTACAACGTGTTAAGACATAGGATACTCGTGAAATGTTTTGTTTTTATGAATCTTTCATGTGGAAATATATGTATTATAGAAATCTTGAAAGTACAGCTGACTGAAGAAGACAAAGGAGGAGATCAGATGTGTGTTTGTTGTTTATTGTGTGTCATCTCTCTTAATGTTCAAAGTCTCATATTCAGAGGGTGGAGCAGAGAGCCGAAGAGATGCGTATGTGCCTCCTGCTTCATTCTGAGCCTGAAAACAGAAACACTCTTCAACACCATCATCATCATCATGCTGCCTTACTATATCCACTATGAAATAAAAGACTCACCTTTTGCTTAGAGGACAATCTGGGGGGAAAAAGATATAGAAGTTAAGAAAAATAGGTATATTAATAAATATTACATATTTTTGCAACAACCTTGTCAAAGTTATTATTATTATTTATTTATTTTGCAAACAGATTAACCACAGATTTGTTCATCACACCAACTAATGTTTGGCAAGTCTTCTTGGACTTGAAAGGCATGCTAGTCCTAGTAATAAATGTGACTTGGTTCGACAACTAATGCTAGAATATTCATACATTTTTAGTGTCCAAGTGCTTTTTGGGGCCACTGTATGAGAAGCATGTTCTTGGTTTTTATAGGTATTGACTTTGCGAGAAGGCTGGAATACACGGTAACACTTTACTTGAAGGGGTGTGCATAAGACTGACATGACACCTTCATTGCTGCCTTACTATATCCACTATGAAATAAAAGACTCACCTTTTGCTTAGAGGACAATCTGGGGGGAAAAAGATATAGAAGTTAAGAAAAATAGGTATATTAATAAATATTACATATTTTTGCAACAACCTTGTCAAAGTTATTATTATTATTTATTTATTTTGCAAACAGATTAACCACAGATTTGTTCATCACACCAACTAATGTTTGGCAAGTCTTCTTGGACTTGAAAGGCATGCTAGTCCTAGTAATAAATGTGACTTGGTTCGACAACTAATGCTAGAATATTCATACATTTTTAGTGTCCAAGTGTTTTTTGGGGCCACTGTATGAGATTAAAGCATGTTCTTGGTTTTTATAGGTATTGACTTTGTGCTGATTTGCCATCTGAACGAGTCGATGCTAGTTGCCAAAGGTCAGTAGTCTGCAGATTTGGGTGGTCCCAGTCAGTAGCAGTTTGTAAATTTCACAGAAAATCAAGTAGTGTATGATGGACACAGACTCTGGTATTTTAGCTTTAGACTTTGTGTATTAGCCTTTAGAGTTCCAAGAAGTTTGTTTTCTGTTCACACTGATGACATTTCACAATAGGTGCTATATGAAATCCGGCTTTGTATAAATATTTATCTTGCTATAGTTGTGTACATCCCTTTTATTGGGAATATACAGTATGTCAATACACAATAAAATACACAAAGTCAACGTAATATGCTAAACTTATTCTGTGATAATTATGTTCTTTTTAGTCACTATAGTAACAATTGTTATTTTACTTTAAACCATTATAAATAGTTATTACGTGTCATGCACCTACCGTACACATGTATATATAATGGCACACATCATCATGACCACCAAAGCCACAACAACAACTCCAATCAGCACAGAGAGATGATTCAAACCTAATGAAGAATAAATGAGTGTTGCTACAACTGATGATTCACTGATTCAGTAAAACAAGTGCAAGTAAGTCCCATCATAATCTTTAAACAACAAAATAACAATAATGGCAAGGAAAGAGGAACAATCTGAAAAGTAAGAGATTAGATTAGCATTCCCATTGAAGTCAGTGACTGTCACTCAGCTGATGAATGAACAATTTACACGTGTTTCATTAACAGACTGACATTAACAGATGTTAAACTTTATCTTATACTGGAAGAATCATATCTGAAACTCACATGCAACAGATGAAGGCAGCTGAAAGAGTTGACTTGCATTGCCATGAGTGTTGTTGCTGGCAAACGCAAGCAGAAATAAATACTGAAGCATTCAGACACACCAACACATTTCTGATGAGTCCTAAACTTTTTTCCATATGAAATCCGGCTTTGTATAAATATTTATCTTGCTATAGTTGTGCACATCACTTTTATTGGGAATATACAGTATGTCAATACACAATAAAATACACCAAGTCAACGTAATATGCTAAACTTATTCTGTGATAATTATGTTCTTTTTAGTCATTTAGTAACAATTGTTATTTTGCTTTAAACCATTATAAATAGTTATTGCGTGTCATGCACCTACCGTACACATGTATATATAATGGCACACATCATCATGACCACCAAAGCCACAACAACAACTCCAATCAGCACAGAGAGATGATTCAAACCTAATGAAGAATAAATGAGTGTTTGGAAAACAACTGATGATTCACTGATTCAGTCAAACAAGTGCAAGTAAGTCCCATCATAATCTTTAAACAACAAAATAACAATAATGGCAAGGAAAGAGGAACAATCTGAAAAGTAAGAGATTAGCTTTGCATTCCCATTGAAGTCAATGACTGTCACTCAGCTGATGAATGAACAATTTACAAGTCTTTCATTTACAGACTGACATTAACAGATGTTCAGTTTATCTTATACTGGATGAATCTTATCTGAAACTCACATGCAACAGATGAAGACAGTTGAAATAGTTGACTTGCAGTGCCATGAGTGTTTCTGCTGGCACACTGCAGATTGGATGTGTGTGTGAGAGACTGATGAAGAGTGATGGAGCTCCTCAAGCCTGTGCTGCTCAATCGCTCTTCACTGATGAACGTGTTTGAAGAGTTAGTGACAGGACGTCCAGACAGATGCCACTCCAGTTCAGGAGAGGGATTCCCATCAGCCTCACAGAAACACACAGTTACATCAGTTCTGGCACAGCTGGAGGATGGAGAGATTTTAGGTGCATCTGAAAAAGAGAAAGAGAGAATGATGTGATACATGGACATTTTATGGAGGAGAAAAGAACTGATGCCACAAAAATCTTACACTGAACATGTAATGTGATGCTGTCCTGTGCTGTTTTGTTCTCGTCCTGTAGCTGGTAGGTTATAGTGCAGGTGAAAGTGACTCTGTGCTGACGGTGAGTAGCAGTGAAGTTCAGATCAGAGATGAGCTCCTCTAGTCTGCTGCTCTCACTGAGGGGGATTCTGGGAGTGGAGCTCCATGTGAGAGTTGGTGGAGGAGAGGAGCAGAGAGTCTCAGCAGAGCAGCGCAGACTCACAGAGCTCCCCTCCAACACCTCCTCCTGATCCTGCACCTCCTTCTGCTCCACGTACAGCTGCACTGTGGGTTTGGGGGGAGAGTCTGAAATACACACACATTTATGTTGTATATATGAATTTGCTGATTATAAAGTAGCATTTTGGTCGAAGACTGTCATCGCCACAATGTTTTGTTTTTTGTTTTTCCCCTCAAATAAGATAAAAAAAATATTTTTTAAAGTCTATATTGATCATGGAAACTCTGGCATGGATTGAAATGTTGTCGTCTTTCAGACTACTGTCATAAAATTGTCATTTCAGATAGTGATTGTGAAAGAGATTTGATTGTCTTGTACTAGAACAATTTACAGTTTATAATATTTTCCAGTCATGAAGTCACTCACCGATCACATGAATTGAAACACTTGTTTTTGTATAGGTCCATTTCAGTCCACCTTCACCCTCAATCATGAAGTAATATTGACCAATGTGATTTGATCTGAGGTCATGAAAAACAGTGGTACAGTTCTTGTCTTTCAATTTTCCAGTTATGTTCCCTTTCATTAAGGAGTTATGGCTTGATGTGCTTGAGTTAAACACTAGATTTTTGTTCATATCAGTCCCGTTCTTGAACCACTGTCCTGTAGCTCTCTCAGTGAGGTCTTTGTCATATTGATCCTGAATCTCAAATCTGCACTTTATGATCACACAGGATCCATTGAGAGCTTCGATCTTCTGCGGCAGACTGATGTTGAAATCTCTACAGCAAACAGCTACAGTACAACACACACGATGAAAAGCATTCAAACACAAGCAGAAATAAACACTGAAGCATTCAGACACACCAACACATTTATGATCTGTTATAAACAAAATTAATGTTTTTTTTTTTATCTTACATTTAATTGCATTAAAGCATCATTTTATAAGGGGTGAACAACAACAGCAACAGTGCAATTTACCTCAAATGTACTATTAATGTATTTAATAATAACTGTAAAATCGTGTATATTGAATGAGATCCCAAACTTCAGAAAACATTTTGTGTATCAGTCTCTATCTGAACTAAAAGTTTCAGTATAGTTTCATGTATGTAGACTAAATGTAGCTTAGCACTTAAACTAGTTAATTTACATTCTCAGTCACACTGAACAGGTCACACTTTACGAGGAGGAGGAGGAGGAAGAAGAAGAAGAAGAAGAAGAAGAAGAAGAAGAAGAAGAAGAAGAAGAAGAGGAAGAAGAAGAAGAAGAAGAAGAAGAGGAAGAAGAAGAAGAAGAAGAAGAAGAGGAAGAAGAAGAAGAAGAAGAAGAAGAGGAAGAAGAAGAAGAAGAAGAAGAAGAGGGTGATTTGATCTGAGGTCATGAAAAACAGTGGTACAGTTCTTGTCTTTTAATTTTCCAGTTATGTTCCCTTTCATTAAGGAGTTATGGCTTGATGTGCTTGAGTTAAACACTAGATTTTTGTTCACATCAGTCCCGCCTTTGAGCCACTGTCCTGTAGCTCTCTCAGTGAGGTCTTTGTCATATTTTTCCTCAATCTCAAATCTGCACTTTATGATCACACAGGATCCACTGAGAGCTTCGATCTTCTGCGGCAGACTGATGTTGAAATCTCTACAGCAAACAGCTACAGTACAACAGACACGATGAAAAGCATTCAAACACAAGCAGAAATAAACACTGAAGCATTCAGACACACCAACACATTAATGATCTGTTATAAACAAAATTAATGTTTTTTTTTATCTTACATTTAATTGCATTAAAGCATCATTTTATAAGGGGTGAACAACAACAGCAACAGTGCAATTTACCTCAAATGTACTATTAATGTATTTAATAATAACTGTAAAATCGTGTATATTGAATGAGATCCCAAACTTCAGAAAACATTTTGTGTATCAGTCTCTATCTGAACTAAAAGTTTCAGTATAGTTTCATGTATGTAGACTAAATGTAGCTTAGCACTTAAACTAGTTAATTTACATTCTCAGTCACACTGAACAGGTCACACTTTACGAGGAGGAGGAGGAGGAAGAAGAAGAAGAAGAAGAAGAAGAAGAAGAAGAAGAAGAAGAAGAAGAAGAAGAAGAAGAAGAAGAAGAAGAAGATCAAACCTTGTAAGATAAAACAGAAAAGAATGCTTTTCTCTGCAGTGTCCATCTCTTCATTAACAGATGCTCAGTCCCTGTGGGGAAAAACACATTTGCATTTGCAAATATTCACATATAATCACATATTAAGCCCCACAGATAATGCAAATTGATAGAAACAAAAGTTTCCAACAATGAAACATCTAAAGAAAAAGAAGAATTTAAGACTTACCAGGAACGAGAAAACAGTCTGAACTGCTGCTGATTTGAGACTGAGTGGAAGTGTGTGAATCACAAACACAATATACTGACTGAACTTCCTGTGTCAGCATCAACTTGCATGTTTAACTTGTAAATGAGTAAGCGTTTCTTTAATCACTTGTACAGTCATGAACTTTTAGCATTTTTAGCATTTATAACAAACTTTCAGCGTTTTGTAGTGTTTTATGTACAGAACTCCCCTTCTTTCTGTTGTGGAATGATAGAAAATATTGACAGGTTTGAATTAGTGCTGGAAGATTTCTTGTAGCATGTTAGCTCTGCGGAAGTTTTCTATTTCATGTCCTTTCATGTTTATTTTTGTTAGACCAACCTGGTTCAGAGTGTTTTTTTAGTGGCTGCGAAGTCAGTTCCTCACAAGTGAAGAAAACCCAGCAGAGTAAACATGAAGTAGAACACATCACATTAGCAAAATACTTCTCAAAATACTTTTTGTGTTCATTTTAAATGGTATATTTAGTTTTTTTTATGTATCATCAATTATTGAAATAACATTTAAATTCATAATTTAATACAGTGCACTTTTTTGTAGCTACATGTATTTACATTGGAAATCACTATAACTGGGTAAATCACTTTTATCTGCACCATGCTGTATGTCCGAAAAGCCTGTGAGCTCATGATTTACACAAATTTTTACACAAAATGTATCATTTTTTATTTACAGATTATATTTGGCTTACCCATGAGTCTCTCTTGGGGAAACTGCTCCCTTCGTCAAATGGGATTCAAACTGATTTTTAAATATGTTTACAATATACGTGAAAATGCTAAAGAGATGTGACATTTCTCTTTATAG